TATATTAAGTACATGTTTGTACATGTTCGGCCCTTAATTCCCTAAGCACTTCTCCAATTAGGACCATTACCGGTTCCACTAATAGTTGAGGTCATTACCACTTCCCTTGATGAGAAATGTCATTTCCTTGTATTAGGATCTTTACCAATTCCCCTAAAAAGAAATTCTTCACCCGAGGCAATTAACAATTCCCTTAACGAAGGAAATATCATTAGCATTTCTAGTTAACCGAAGCCATTACCAATTCCCCCAGTGAAGAAATTCTTCAAAAGGAAATGTCGGAGACCATGAAAACCATGAAAACATTTTCCTTTTCCTTCGAAAAATCATGAAGGCATTCCTTTTCATGATTTGGAATGCATATGCATTTACGTGTAAATCCATAACTTCATAAATTAATGTAATCTATGCCATGAATGATTATTCATTTATGCAATAAAATTCCTTACCTCAATAGAATAAAATGCATGTTGGAATCCATTACCTTTCAATCCATCACAATCCATTCAAGGTACACAATTCAATCACATAGAACATTTAACACGATGTACCACGTAGCATCACATTTAGTAATATCATTCAAACAACAAGGCATTGCAATAAATCATCCATCTATTTTATAATTTCTATAAACATAAACAACCATACTATAATAACTTAATTGCACACACGTTAAATATATGTAATACACATAATACACCATGAGCTCACCAATTCAAATAATATTAAGCTGCAATAAGCTTTATGAGTGTTATGCTTATGCTATAAGATAGCGATAGAAGATCTCACACCTATTGGCATGGTGATGCGAAAGCAAGCAATTACGTGATTAATGTTAGAAAACATATCACTAGACGTGACTCACCATGAGAACCCATTTGGTTTAATCTATGGGAATCTCATACGAGATGGGTACAACTAGTCCTTTGACTTGAACTTATCACAAATATCTCATTAGAGGATTTCTATACCTTAAAGCTCATTTCGATAGACTCGGTCAATAGCTACACGTGGACAATTCATTAGGCACACTAGGAATCTAATGAAAATAGGTGGATGACTAAGATAGGTGGACAATTCATTAGGCACATTAGGAATCTAATGAAGATGGGTGGATGACTCGGATAGGACATGTCATTCCTTGTATGCTAAGGGATTTATCACATTTCACTTCGATAAATATTTACTCAAGAAATATGTGATCATAGTGTGAGTATACCAATAGAGCATAGTTGGTTTATTCTAAAGCTAAGACATTTCGGAATTAAAGAAAACGTGTTTGACCATAATCGAACGGACTATAAACCAAGTTCAAGATCACACTATGATAAATTTACATGAGAATTAAATTATATGGTAACCATGCTCGTGAAAGGTAATTATGGATTAATTAATCTTCCTAAAGAATTGATTAGTCATGATGTTTTACTAGAGGTCAATCTTAATTTACGTATCAAGAGATAAAAAAATATATCTTTTATTCTTGATACATTGACAACATATCTAAGAGCCTATTAAGTCAAACACATAAGTTTAAGCATTCACATATTAAAAAAAAAAATTGAAAAAGGTTTCCAAAAAAGGAAAGTTTCTTGTTTTGGAAAATTTTTCCTATTTTGGAAAGTTTTCTGTTTTGGAAAAAGTTTCTGAAATGAAAATTTTCTTATTTTAGAAATTAGTTTCCTAACTTGGAAGTTAGTCACTTAAAAGGAAAAATTAGTTTTCTAATTTAGGTTTAAGGATAATTTGAAAATTGTTTCCTAATGTGAGCCCCACTAAAATACTTTACCCAATTTATTTAGATGATCCGAATTAATTAGTAATTAATTGGGCTAAGAGAGTTTAGGCCAATAAGGTTAAATTAAAAGCCCGCATCATTATTTGGTGGGAGGATAAATTTGAGTCTTATTGGATAAGGCTTAGCATTATTACAAGGATAAGATCAAACAAGCCTACACATATTGCAACTCCTTATCTTTGGAGGGTAAAGATGTCGCCTGCTATATAAAAAATAGGGAGAGAGGCGACAAGGATAGGAGAACAATAGACATACACACATGAAAAAAGAGAAAGAAAAAGAGAAAAATTGTTTCTCTCTCAAAAAGCCTAAGTTGTCGTAAAAACGCTAATTGATTTTTAAAAAAGCAAATCAACTATACATAAGGATTGGAGCTAGCACTCTGTGATTTCTATGGCTTTCTTTATGGGTGTTTAAGTTGTATGGATTATCGATAGAGGCCGGATACTTGAACAGCTCTTTTTTACAAAGGCTAAATCTATGCTACAAGAGTAAATCTTTTACTCACGCTTTTAATTCATGTATGTATGATTAGTTGATTTGATAGCTTGATTTTAGGAGTCTTTGATAGAGGAAAATTTTTGTTTAATTATGCACCTTCATAGGATGCATGATCCTTCACTACCATCATTATTTACACTACCACAATCCAGTCGTCATCTAGCGAATTTCCAACCTCTTCTTTGTGCATAAGATATATTTATTTTGCATTCAAAATGCTTTCTATATCCATTTTATTATTAAATTATTTTTATTTTTCAATTGCATTTTTTTATATAATCACTAAATAAAACGTTAAGTTCTTTATAAAATAATATTATTTTTATAAAAAAAATACAATTTGAATGAAAATATATACGAAAAAGTCTTTAAAATTGTTAGAAGTTTTTTGTTGAAGCTTTCTAAAAATTTTAAAGTAAAATATAGTAATATTAAGAATACATATATAGTTAGATAATATTTTTTAAGTTCGTACAAAAAAAAATTATCCCTCGTGTAGAATTAAAAGGTACTCCCAAATTATAGAATGGACAAAGGGTATTGCTAAATTTTATAAAACTTTGAAAATTTCATAGTAAATTAAAAGGTACTGACAACTAAATTCATTAATCAAATTGTTATTCCCATCAATTTTTTCTAAGAAATTTCCAATACACTCTTCATCGATATTTAGTATGTAATAGTTATTGGTAATTGGTAAAAGATGTATTGGTAACTATCTAGAAAAAATGGTGGGAAAAATAAGAAAGTTGTATAAAAATAAACTCTTAAAATTAAGGCAATTAACTAAACTTCTTTTGGAAAAACACATATTTCCCTCTCTTTAAGTTTGTCTTTGCTTCATGCAAATCCAGCTAAGGCACATGTAATTCCAGCCTTCCAAACCAATATTTAACTCCTTCTTGAGTTGGACAAAGTCTTTATGTGAGCCATGTAGAGAAAATCCAATTCAGCTAAAGATTAGAGCTCGTGGATTCCAACGAGTAACTTCCAAACCATTCTTTGAGACAATGTTTGGAGATCCAAAAAAAAATTAGATTTTGACCCATAATACCATCCCGAAAATGTCGAGATGTCCTCTCGTAAAAGCTCTACAAACCACTTCTTCCAAATGCAATGCCAATTTCATTGAAATACCGCAACAAGCCTAAAAGTGCTAAGTCTAGTCACTAATTTTTTAAATTAATTATTAAAATCTAACATAAGATACCAAACCAACGAGTTCACTAGGTTTTCCATCATCATCCATATTCAAATGTCCGATTTTAATAACTTAATTCAAAAATTATGTTATTTAATTTATCCCATAGTGTTCATTAAATATTTATGAAGCAATAAAAAAGATGAACATACGCAAAATATAATGCTTCATAAAATATATGTTCATACATATAAATTCAAAGTAAATATGAAACATAAACACATAGTTCAAACAACTATGTACAATTAGTTCATGAGACTATATACAAAGAAAATCAATTATCAACATTATGATTACCCTGACTGTCACTATTATTTTCAAAATCACTATTATATTCATTATCATCATTGTTATGATATTTTATACTCCTTGGGATAGATTTTTCAAAATTGTTCCTATTGATATGTCAAGAAGCATTTTTGCAAGCCATGACTTGTCTTGCACTAGCTTTCTAGAATTATGGATATTGACGGTTGGATTAGTGGGTAAAATGATTGATTTTGGAAAACTTTTCCAAGTGATCATTTTAATGAACTCATTAACAAGATCATCATAATTTTTAATTTTAAATTTAAACACGTTTGCAGTTACATTTGCTTGTCATAATTTCTCAAGCTACATCTTAAGCCTGGGAGGAAGAGTCTCCCACAGAACTATTATCGTTTCTTCTTCAGTCATCACTTGACCATTGTGAACTATTTTTTGAATATTCTTATTGATCCTTTTGCAATGCTCTATAATAGTCTGACCCGAGTTCATTGTATACTCAGTTCATAATATACTTGGTAAGCTTTCTGTTATATTTAACCCGAGTTCATTGTATACTCAGTTCATAATATACTCGGTCAGCTTTCTGTTATATTTTTTTTAAGTTTTTTCTTTGCCTTTGTATTCTTGTAGCTCTAGGACATGTGTAGGTGATAGATTTAAATGGATTTGATATGTTTCTTCTCAATTCTTGATAACACTTGATCTGTCGTTACTTTAGACCTGCACCTTTTTCCATAACATAGATTAAGAAAACAAACGTTAATAAATTACAATAAGACCCTAAATCTACAATGTACATTATTAAAAAGTATTTCTGGTTAAATAACTTCAATAAATTTTATTTATTTATTTATTATTTTTTTTATTAAATTTTTTGGAATAATTTCTAAAATTATCAAAATTTTATTTTTGTGCCCTAGCCACACTGAGCATTGCATAAAATATTTTTGGGAATTTTCTTAAAATTTATTTCATTAAAAAATCATTATTAATGAATTTCTTATTTTTTATAATAATAATTGAAATAAATTATTTACAACATTAAAAATTCAATTATGGTCCATCATTATGTTTACAAATATACAGATGATTTTTTTAGAAACTTCAAAATATAATTCGTTTCATATTAACCATTATGGATTTTTGATTATTTTTCATAGAAAAATTCATAATAAAGATTTTTGGATCCTTTAGAATAATCTTAATTTACTAACAATTTTAAACTAAAGTGGTAAGTTGGTCTAATGGTCTAAAATGACAGTTTAAGGCTCTCAACCAGGAAGGCATGGGTTCAAATTCCATAATTGTTAAAAACCATAAATTGTAATTTAATCATCAATTGCACCAGTTGTTTGAAATTTTAATTATTTTTTAATTTTATTTTAAATAATTTTTTTTCAGATCGATCCAGCCTAATTTTTTTTAGCACTAATTAAGCTAGATAGTTTCTACAATGAAGAATCTATACCGTAACATTTGAACAATTAGAAAAAATATATATATATATATTCCCTACGTCATTCAATTTAAACAGAATGGAAAATCATACCCTCCTCTAACTTTAAACACATTCATCATATACAATATTGGTACAAGATAATATATCAAGAAATTTAGAAGCAATCATATCCTCTATATGTACAACTAGTATACGAGCAAATCAAGAATATCATCCACGACACAAGTCTCTGCCTATTGTCTACTTGCTTCTTCTTCTTTTTTCTCGATCAACTAATGGAAAATACAATCATTGGTCAAAAAGTTTTTTAAAAAAAAAAGCGAAAAAAAATCTGATAGGCTGGAGAAGCATTATATATCTACATGCACCGGAAAGTTCAATATATATATATATATAAGCATCTTTTTACATCTTGTAAAGTGCTCCAGTAAAAGGATAGGAACATATCCGGAGGGTTATCTTCAGGCACCTTCAAAGCAGGATGGGTTATTATCATTGATCCTTTTTCAAATATCTATATGAAACAGATCCATTAGCTAGCATATATGCTATAGCTATCCAAAGATATTTTTCTAAGGACCATATATATCCATATGAAACAAGTTGTACCGAGTAACTAATATAAATACAAGTACTTCTGATCCTGGATTCACATAACATACAAAAACACGATCACCTATAAAGAAAACATTTTCTGAATCAATGGAAGCAAAGTATAGGCAAAGAGGGTTCACCAGCAATGGCAGGTTGGTCATGTCTTTGTATCAAGCACCAACCCCATCATCGTCTACTGTGCATTATTTTAGCGCAGAGAATTCGAGTCAATCTTCATCAGTTGCTTCTGTGACCAGATACAATGATGGAAATTTGGGTCATCTACGTAACACTACTAATGGTCAAGATGAGTTCCTAAGTACTATTGATGAAACCATTGATGCCAAAGCTGCAATTTACATCTCAAGCGTTCGACAACGGTTTAGACTTGACTGATTTGATTAAGCTTATACCAGTCCTTTACATCCTTTTCTTTGATGTGAAGGTGAAATCTGAAATGCAGCAACAATTTCAAAAAAGATATGCTGTGATTAGGTTCTGTATATTTTGCAAAATATCAAGTAGTTTAAGTTATAGCTGTGCTTGTCTATTTCCCTTTCTTGGGCCTGTTGGCCCAAATCAACTTACGACTAGCTGTATAACCATTACATCCAAGTGGTACTTTTACTCAAAATGGAAATTCCCAAATTAAATGATGGTTTTCATTTTCTCACTACAAGTACTTCCTCTACACTTGCCCGTATGTACATATATATATATGAAAACACAATGACATTCCATGCATTAAAAATTTAGAGTTAGTCATTTGAAGAATCCAGACAGCGATCGAGGCATTTATCCAAATAAAAAAATTATATTTTATATGAACATAAAATAAAATAAATTATAAATTAATCATTTTAGTTTTAGAAACGAATAATTGTTACATTGGAGATACTATCAAATTATAGGATTATTAATTTTGCATTCAAACTATTATGAATATCAATTTTACTATTAAATTAATTTTATAATCACTTAATAAAGCGTTAAGTTCTCTATAAAATATTTTTTATATAAAAAACAATACAATTTGAATAAAAATATATGCGGAAAAGTCTTAAAAATTGATGGGAATTCTTTATTGAAACTTTTTAAAAATTTAAAAGTAAAATATAGTAATATTAAGAATACCTATTCACCGGGACAATATTTTGTCAAAAAAATGATAATAATTATCACTAGTGTAGAATTAAAAGGTACTCTCAAATTATAGAATAGATGAAGGCACATGTTAGTTTCAGGATTAGATGTGTAAAACGATACCTATAAATTATTGTTGCAAGAGGACTTAAAATGATGATGGAGACGTAGATAAGAACTGAAAAAGGATGTAAATCACGCTAAAACCTTATTATATTGTGCAGGTTTGGAGAGAACCAAAAAAGAGAAAGATAAGAAGGGAGATACACAAAGATAGTCATTGCAAAACCCTCTTTAGAATCTTGAAGTTGAGAGATTGTATTGTTCAATGGAAATTTGAAAACAGAGAGTCAATTCATTTTTTCACCATTGCTACATACACAGAAGATGAAGCATTCTTAAAAATGATGGTCTTATCATTACTGAATTAAAAAGACTCGCTAAACAAACTAGTAAGGTTATATGATGCGCATTTATGTATGAATATATTTTAGAAAAGCGTCTCGAATCATACAGAGAAAGGTTAATAAAATATGCAAATATTATGTTGATCCAACCATTAAATTTGAATATAGTGAACTTTTTCATAATCTTATTCAAATGCAAGTGTTATTGATATCAATATTCTATTGATGCTAATATTTTATAATCATTCTATAAAACATGCTCAAGGTTGTTTTTTTCTTTTTTCTTTTTTCCACCAAGCAAAGGTCCAAACAAACAAAACTAAACTAGCTATACACGGACAGCCTCGACAATTTTAATTTATAATGGTTTAGAATAATCTTTGGCTCTTCTTTTTTTGATTCGGTTGTCATTTCTGTTCTGAGGAATTTTTCAAAGAAACTTTATAGAACTTCCTTGTTTTTTATGTTTATGGAAACACTTTATACACCTTAAGTTGAAAGAAAACAACAGAAATACCAAGCAACACCAGCCTCTGAAGCTTTAGGCAAACAAAGAGAAAAGCAATTTATCTTCACCACGTACTCAACTACAAGACCACAAGATCAGGCCCATTTTGAAGGTCCGTTTAGCCCCTTTTTAATGGTGAGATCCTTCAAAGAAAAATCCTGCATTAATTTTGAAAACTCAGCACACAACAATTAATATTAATTGCATATCATATAGCAAACGAATTAAGAAAATTAGTCAGAAATTTAGGATGCCTCCTTTGGAAAAATCCAGTTTACATATAAACACGGTTGGATTTCTTGTCAACTTTGAATATCCGGTCATCAAAATTTATGTTGCCTTTTTCTGACTTTCTCCAATGGCACCGGAGAAAACTTGAAACTTGTTTCATTTAGCAATTGGTTTTGTTACGAGGGATTGTAGAATTTGAGACGAGGGATTATGTAATTTGCTTAAAAGTGATAAATTATTATTTTATAATATAACAATGGAAGGTTATCTTCCATTGTAAAACTCAAAAATATTCTAGAAACTCCCCATCTATTAAAGAAAAAAACATTAATTTGCATGATAAAGGGAAGAGAAAAAAAAAAAACTTTTATTTGGATGGATTAATCAGCAAAATTGATTAATTACCTTTGCTCGTTAAACACATTACATGCATTTGGTTCCGGAATCCTCGAGCTTATATTGGCATCTTGCAGCTCATGCAACTTAACCTCAGATTAAAAAGTACAGAGGCAACCAAAAAAAAAAAAGATTTCAAACTCCAACTTTAATTCAGGAGCATGTGCTTTAAAAAAAAAAAAAAACATTTTTTTAGATGGAAGTTTTGAAATATCTCACTCTTTTCTGAAGACGAGTGTTCTCCTCTTGAAGAGCTCTTTGCTGCATTTTAACAAGACAAAGTTGCGACTTTTATTCAAATATATACATACTTATGTTTCATTCTACTAAATTTTAATTAACTCAAACTAGAAAAGGGTTGCTTTTATCATAGTTTCAAATTATTGCATAACCAGAAATTTAACAGATGGAACCTCGATCAATTTCTTACTTAGAAGATCATCGTATAATCAATTAATATGAGTTATGACAGTTCAAGATATACAAGAGCTTATGCCAGAATATTACTGGTAGGGAAATACACCTTACCTTTCCCTTCAACAAGTTGGCGTGCTCTGCGACGATGCGTCTCTGTGGATCATAATCACATATTAGTCAAAATAACGTAATCATTCAATTATACAAAGATCCTTTCCACACAGGAGTTTGAAAAAAATAAAAATAATAATTGTGATTTTTATGTTTGTAAGGCTCTAAAAATGGTCTTCCAAATATATAAGCTTTATTACTGTTTAGAATTTTTCAAATATGTATAAGATATAGAATGATTACCCTAGCTTAATGTTTGTTATAAGTAAATAAATAAATAAAATGATTAACGTACGTACCTTCTTAGAGCGGATACGTTCAACCCCTATCTTTAACTGTCGCTCTACTTGCTTCAACTCTTTCATCCCCAGCATTGCTATATCTTCTCCCATAAAATGCCTAATAAAGAAACAGTTGTAATGATGATGATCGATGTTCAGTAAATATTAGGAAGAGGAGAGGCTAATATAATCATGTATACCTGAGTTGTGCTTCCGTTTCATTTATTGTTCTCTTTAATTCTTCAATCTCACATCTCCAAAACTGTTTGAGTAATGAGATAGAAAAAATATGAGATGCTGGCAAAATTAGAGAAAAAATAAAACCGTACGTTGCAGTCCATGCATCATGAAATTTATTTAATTTGCTCCATGCTGGAAATTCTGTTATAAATTCCCTAATTAGAAACTATGCATGTAATTAAGTAATTTGGTATGGAGAAAAAGAATTAGAGAAAAAAATAAAAAATCGGTATGGATGCTTAAGAAACATTATCTTTAAAGTGTTTATTTGTACGCATTGAGACAACACCTGTACAATACAACTAAACTCCTAAATACTCTAAAAAAATAAGATAGAAAAGACAGAAATATATATATATTACAAAAAAAATATAAATAAAGAAAAATAACTCTAAAATATTAACATAACCAATATCAATTTATAATAAATCGAATTCATAAATATATGAAGTTGTAAAATAAAAAGATAAACATCATGTTATTTATATTTACTTAACAAGAAAATAAATTTGGACATCTAAAAATTAAAT